ATCACACTGTGCCTTCTTTCTAAAGATAGTGAAAACTTTAATACCTACTTGTGGATAAAAACAAAAGTAGGGCCAGAACTTGAACTTGACAGCACATGGCAATGCCTTGATTTTAGGGCCTCTGAAATTGTTGGCAAAATAGCAGGTTTCCAAATAGATTGTGTTCCCTGTCAGATGTGAGTACATTTTGTCTTAATTATGTATCTGGTCTGCTGCTGATCAAGTTACACTAAACATATTTATGGATAATTTTTTATTTATAGACCACAGAATTGCCTTTCAGACGGAGGTAATTGTAATCATTTTAGAAATGAGGAAACCAAAGTGTCACGAGGAAATTACGATTTGCTGAAGATCACTTTCCAGAATATTCATAGTACTGTTAAATATTGCCTTCATGATTGTGCCTAAGCGTTAATTTTGGAGTTGTGACACTGTCTTCTGTTGTAAAGCCAGCAGAGGGAGCCTGTGTATAAAGCAAGAGAAACATCCAGCGCTAAAGTGACATCATTGCTGAGCAGGGAGTAGAGGCTAGCAAGTATTTTCCACTTTAATTTCATGCTGTTATAACCCAGGCTCAGAAGGGTTGCTGTAAGAACTGTCACAGGGAAATAAACTCTATATGAAGTTTGAAAATTAAAATCTTACCTTAAAGATTCCTGATAGCCCTTGAAAGTGAACAAAGGGTGGAAAAAAAAATACTAAAAATGCAAAGCTACTTGATGTTGTCCGTTGAAATACTTGTGGCAATTTGTTTACTGTAGAAAAGCTGATGTTGTGCGCATCCCTTAGGGACTCAAATACAGTGGATGGTTACTCTTATTAATAACTTTCTCTGATTATTCTGATCTGGCAAGTGAAGGTGCTGTAAAATACAGTCTTCTTGTACAATTAAATAAAGATTAAATGCAAGTTTATTGTTATAGATATGTCGTCATTATTGTTATAACTAATTTCTAGAAAGACAAATCCTGCATTATTTTTAATAGGAAATTATCATTCACAAGTAATGTGTCTCAGAATATCATATGTTCTAATCTCCTTTTTATGTAATATTCATTTGGTTTTTATTGTGTTAACCCATTATTTTAAGTCAAAAAATAATACTAAAGGAGTAAAAAACCTAAAGTATTCAACTAAAACTTGAGAGTGAATTACTGTTGAGCATCAAATCACTGTTTGTATTATTCTTGTGACTTATATTTTTCTACTTCAGACTGTCATTGGGTTTTTTTCTGATCCCTCCCTTGCTTATTGAGGGATGTATATCAGATGGTGCAGCTTTTCCAGTGACTAGCATTGAAGGTGAGCCTTCCTGTTTGTTGCTCAAGGTTAAGCTTTCTGGCCTGTGTAACATACATGATATAAAAAAGTGCAGTTAAACTTTTAACATTGTAAACCCGTCATGTTTCAGGTGCTGAAAGCTTTCAGTGTAGTAACTTAGCAGTCCTATGTATGCCAAGATTATGTTGTAAAAAAAAACAAACTTCTGTCTAGTATTGAATTGAATGACTTTTAGTGGTATCATATATTTGAGCTTTTTGTTTTCCTTTTTTAGGTGGCTTTGGTGTAGCAAAGAACCTGTGTTCCTGGGCTGTAGATGGCAAGAACTGTACTGTCAATGAGCATGTGAACTCCACACTCCAGGCTTTCCACAGTGCTAAAAAGCCCATTGGTTTGTGCTGCATATCACCGGTTCTGGCAGCTAAAGTCTTTCCTGGTTGTGAGGTTACAGTTGGCCAAGATAAAGATGTAGATGGAAGGTAAGAAGGAAATGGATACATGGGAATTCAGATTAGAAAATGGACAGTCTTCTGTGCAGAGGTCTGAGGTCTCAGGTGCCAGTAAGCCCTTGGTAACTTCTGAGTGACATTTTTCACTTATTTATGATTTTCACTTGCCTAATAGTTCTTGTATAATGAGCAGAACTCTCAGGGGAGAGAGACTGAATCTGTGAGGTCAGGTGACTTGTGCACTACAATGTTGGAAAAATTTATCCCTAAATTCAGAAATACATTGGTCTGTGATATCACAGAATCATTTAGATTGGAAAAGACCTTTAAGGTCATTGAGTCCAACCATTAACTCAGACCTGGCAAGTCCACCACAAAACCATGTCCCTAAGCACCACATCCTAATGTCTTTTACACACCTCCAGTGTTCTGATACCAACATCCACACATACAATTAGTAGTTTGCCGACTCTAGGTAGCCTTATCTCTTGCGTAAGCTGTTACTCTGTGAGCCACTGAAGGTAATGTAAGTTCCTGCACTGGCTTTATTGTGCAGTGTGGGCGCTAATGAGTCAGTGGATGTAGCATCTGTCAGTCTGTGACAGCATCTGTCAGAAAGTGACAGAACAAAGTGACTTTTATGGAATCATAGCTGTGCGAACATGCAGATGACCAAGGATATCAAGTAATTTTTTCTGCATTATATTCATGGTTACTGAGCAATGGATTTTAGCTCATACTGAGTGAGGTACAGAATGTGCTTACCTAATGCCTTTGAAGGCCATGATTCATATTGCAAATGTGGGAATGAAGAACAGGCATGTGGCCAGCTGGCATTCAGAAACTTGGTACCCGGTGGTAATTGGAGTGGCTGTTTAAATTGTGTCTGTGGGCTTTTGTCTGTTCAGGGATTTTTAGTTTTTCAGTCAGCAGTGGTTTGGGGCCAGTTTAGGGGAGGCAGTTGAGAACAGGACCTGGCAGAAGCATGTGCTGCTTCAGGAACTGTCAACTCCAATAAAACTTCTGAATGGAATTTCATCTCAGCAGTGATACTAAGGGTTTGTCTCTGCTCCTTCCTTATCCTTAGGGGGAAAAAAAAAAAAGCCCAACAAAATTCTGCAGAATCCCAGCAAAAGTCTTTACATGAAGGTGTTGGAAAAGGTCTAAAGTGTCTGCAAGTTCAGCTGGCATCTCTCAAACTTTTGAGGATCAGTTATGATCACTTGGTGTCATCTTGTAAACTACTGAAAGATTGTTAAAACCAGAATTACGCCTTCTGCCAATCTGTGGCTGTGCATTTTTTACCTTGTTTTCAAAGCTGTCAGATAATCTGTTTTGCCATAGGGGCTGGATGGGCCTGGCAGTAGCAGTCTGATTCCCTTGTCATCAAGAGTCACTTTAATATTATTGTAGTTCTCTCATTCAAGTTATGTTGGCAGAACTTTATTCCTGTGTTTTCTCTGTAAGTTAACGACAGCCTTTTTATTTACAGATTTCCTGATGCTGAAACAGCATCTGCTATAGTCGAGCTTGGATGTAAGCACATTTGCAAAAATGTAAATGAATCCCATGTGGACAAAGCCAATAAAATAGTTACTACCTGTGCCTTCATGTGCAAGGCTCCTCTGCATGAAATCTTTGATGGAATTGGAACGATGGTACAAGAAGTCCTGAAACTTGCATAACTGGAATCATACAGACTTCTACAAGGAAATCAGTTTAACTGAGAATAAGCATTTAGCTTCCTTTGAATGTAGTAATAAAATAATGCAAATACTAAACTTCACAGTTCTTGGGGTTTTGTTTGGTTTAGTTTTAAAATCTGTACATCACAGGGTTATTGCTAATTTTATCCTATTTATTTCTTTTTTAAAATAGAAAATGTGTTGAAGGTTGTGTATGTGGGTGTCAGCATTTTTTTTTTCTCATGAATCAATGTATTCAGTCATGATGAGACAGTCCTTCTCGGAGAGGGACTTTTTGCAAGGAGATTTAGTGACAGGACAAGAGGAAATGGCTTTAAACTGAGAGTAGATTTAGATTAGATATTATGAAATTCTTCACTGTGAGAGTGGTGAGACTGGAAGAGGTTGCCCAGAGAAGTTGTGAAGAATCCTTTTCAGCGTTCAAGGCCAGGTTGGAAGGGGCTTTGAGCAACCTGGTCGAGTGGAAGGTGTCCCTGCCACAGGCAGGGGGATTGGAACTAGATGATCTTAAGGTCCCTTCCAACCCAAACCATCCTGTGATTCTATGATAATGTGGGACCCCTCTCTGCCCAGTGGTGTGATTATTAGTAATTCATATTTGGTGTTACCCAGCTATAATTGCTGTTGAAATAGCTCTAAATGAGTCTGTGTGCCTTCAGTATAGGTGAGTAAATTTTAATAGGGCGGGAAAAAGTATGCAAGTCTTTAAAGCACGTATAATTTTAGCATGGACTTAACTTTAGAAACCAAGAGTCAGAGGTTTAAGTACAAATTAATACATTGTTTGAGACAAACACACAGGTTTTGCTCTAATATATGAAATTACTTGGGGTTTAGTTGGTAAAATGAAATAGCTTTATGATTTTTTTTTTATACATAGTTTATTGCCCTAAGGAAGTCACACTTCACATATGCTAGAACAGTTGCTTTGATCTCATAAATGTGAACGAAGGTGGCCAGCCTCTCTAATAAGCGCAATATAGCAAGGTTTTGTACTCCTGAAGGAACTAGAAATTCCCAGCATTTGTTTAAGGTAAGCTGAGAGTCACTGTAGACACTTAATTGTCTCAGCATGAGAAGTGGTATGATGCTTGCAGATCTCTTTTGCTACTCACAACAGAAGTACTGCAGTCCATGCTTTGCAGTGCCTGAAGGAATGTAAACATGTCATCATCACTAGTGCTAATCATGTCTTGTTGATCAAGGGCCTGGAGTGGGAATACAGCAGGAACAAACCTGTACCACAGAGCAGCCAAAAGACGGGACTAGGAAATAATGCCTTTATGATGGGGAGCATTGAGTTGTGCCTCTTGCTCAGCAGCCGGCATGGTCAGGGAGGGCACTAACCTTTACCTGTGATTCCTGACATGTTGCAGAGCATTGAGTGCTACTACTTTCTATGTGTGCCGTGTTTATTCTAGCACAAATATCAAAGTTCAGATGTAATTGGTGGCTTTTTCAAGGAGGTTTTAGAGCTAAATCTACAGAAATAAATATATAAAGGCTTTTACTCTGTCCTTCTCGGGATGTTTCTCACAGACACAGCATTTCTATACTCCAGAAGTTCCTGTATGGATTTACTTAGCAGAAGCAGAATATACAGATGCTTTTGGCAGCAGAGTGGACACATTTTTGTGTCATGCACAAGCAGTGCTCTGCCTCTAGAGGTATAAAGATAATGGAAGTGCCACCAATCATGCCAGCAGAGGATTTTCTATTCAGCCTGGGCTGTGTGCATAATCACTAGCTTACTTAGTCAAAACCCACGGTATTTGACTGAGTGTGGCTCTTGTGTTACAGGAGTCTTGTTCAAAAGTGCTTGAGTCACTAAATAAGAGTTTGTCCTGAATTTTGTGTTTGCCTTGTGAACAGTCTTGCTGTTGGCTCAAGCAGTCAAAGGAAGCGCAGCTTCTCCAGAAGAGCTCTAGCTGCCTGTCCTGATAAAAATGTACTTAACACAGAACAGTCCTCTACTTTTTCCAGATTGTACACGGTCTCTATGATGCCTTCTGTGGCTTCTGCAGGCAGGGTGCTGGAGACATTGGACTGAAATTTTTTCTCCAAGTCCTCCTTTTTCAGGGGTTTCCTCCAGTGCCCATAGAATGTGTCGCAGCGGTCACTAATCATGTTGCCATCCTGAAGCATGACGCTCACTTCGCAGTAAAGACTCTCAAAGCTAGGTGTGTTATCAGGAGGGTGCTCCAGTTGCGTTTTGCAGAGGAGCTCCTGCAAGGCCGGCCGGTGAATGTTCTCACTGGTGAAGGACTGGACCGACATGCTGCCGTCCAGCAAAGAAGAGCACGCAACAAACTGGAAGGAGTGTCGAGCTTCATGCTCTGAGGTAGGGCTGGCTCTGTTCACGTATTTGACGTCTGGGACTCTGAGAATGACTTTCTCAATTTTATCAAGGGGGAGCAAGTTGTTGCTCTCCACAAGCTTCCTCCTAACAGAAGATGCTGCATCAGCCACCCAGTGTGTTCCCAGGTGAGCAGGAAAGCGTTTAATGGCAACGTCTTGCTGGTCCAACAGCCATGGATAGGAGTGCAAGGTTGGCAGAGTCTGTGGGTTGTAATCTGTATAAAAGGCACCTATCCCGGACTCCATATCCAAGATCTGCTTGTTTCCTTGAAGGCCCTGTGATGCTAAGCAAGCTGCTTCCAGTCCATGCTTGGCAGCATTGCCAACATGGAGGGGCTTCGTTTGGGTTGCTGCGTTAGCCAGTGGGGCACCTGCATAGGAGGCAGCGATAGCCAAGGTGTTTTTACATTGCAGTTGGTCAAGAGCTAGCAGTTTGGCACAAGCTGCTGCACTCCCCATTGTACCAACCACAGTAGGTGGGTGAAACCTGAGAAAACAAAAATGTCTTAATTACCATATTTCAAAAAATCATCTGAACTCACTATATACAAAAGCTCCAATTTCCTAGTGCTGCTGTGGAAGACAGATTGAGCCATAAAGAAACATACACTCAAAATTCATGTGTGGCTCTAGTGGAAAAACTTGTTGCTTTTCCCCAGGAATAAGTTAAACTGGAATAGTACTACTTCCAATAGGTCTTCCCCAGAAAGCAATTGAAATTTTAGAACTGCTCATAATTCGAGGCACACCAAGCAGTATAACGGCAAAAGCATCACAGTTTAGTCTTCTGTAAATTATATATATTGGGGGAGGCAAGTTTTGCCATTCTGAACCAGTTTTGTAAAACTGATAGAAGGAACACACACAAAATAGCAAGAAGACATCTAGTCCATCCCATGTTTCAAGGCTTTCCCCTATGCACACCCCATCTTCCTGGGTTCTGCTCAGGGCCCAGCTCCAGTGGCTCCCCTCTGCTGAGAGCAAGGCACTGTTTGCAGTTGAGGCGTGATCGTATGTATTCATGAGAGCCTGAAATCTCTGCTGTTAATCATTGCCTTTTTTGCTGCAGTTTTTAATAGATGGGGAGATCATTACCTCCTTCTTGTAAACTGCTCAGTGCTCTCATAAAGACAGCTATTAGCTAAGCCATAAGGAGTCATGTAAGTGTATTTAAGTTTAAGATGAACCTTTCTTAACTTTCCAGACAAGCAACATAGAAAATATGAATGACTATGCCATCTCTATTTTAACTGGCATTTAATTAAGTGTATTAACACTGAGAAAACAAACCCGTTCCACTCAACTTTCTACTTGAAGCATTTCTTTGTACCTTTTTGGGATATTCCTGGCTTCGCTGGAGAAGCGCAGCAGCCGGCCTTGCACTTCGATTCCCACATTGAAAGCTAAGAGCAGATCAAGACCTGAGATTTTTTTCTTCTGAGGAAAGGCCTCTGAGAGTGCAATCACAGCAGGAAGTACAGCCCCAGATGGGTGTGTGGCAGGATGCCATGTGTCGTCAAAATCCATTGAGTGCACCTAATGGAAAGAAAAGCCTTGACATGTGATCAGAAACAAACTCTGAGTTGGCAAGATTGGCTCAGTCAAATAAAACTACTGAAATTGGTATAAAAAAGGGCTGAAGATCTAAATTTTCCTTAGAAAACAAATCTTCACAAGTCCTTCTTTCAAAGACCTTCCCTCCCAACATGGCTTCATGAGAAGTGGCAATGCGATACAAATCTTGCCTCAAAGGAGAGTAATTCTAATTCAAGTTGTAGCAGTCTAAAACCAGTATGATAGTGATTCGTCTTTCCTGCAGTAGGGTTTTGCTGCTTTAATTAGATTTGTATAATTAAAGCAGCAGTCCTAGGTCCATCATATGAACTGTGAATTTTCACTTCCCCCAAAACAGTATATAAATGTGTTGAAACTACTTCCCCAGTGCTGCAACCGATGCTGCCATTAGGGCTCACAGCGTTAAAGCTGTAGCAGTCCAGTCCATACTTCTAACTCTAAGTTATACCATCAGAACAGCTTCTTCAGTGCAACCCTCCACAGGCAACAGGTACAAGCCTGCAAATGTACACGAGGCTTTAGCCTGAATTCTCAGCACATTGACCTGTCACATGAAGAGCCAGACTCCCTGGGGTTGCTAGGACTAGGAGAATGTTGGTCTTAAAACTGGGATAAGCCATTTAGTCCTTGAGAGTATCCAGAGAGGTGCCTCCTCTCTCCCATGCCCACAGTCCAGCTGCCCGGGAAGATTTTGGGTATTCCCACCATGATAGGAGACTACTCCCAGCATTGCAGTCAGTGTTTGCAATGTACTGCTTGACAGATCCCCACACCTACCCCCAAGATTTTGAACATCCCCAAGGACTTGAGAACATCAGAGGCAGCACTTCTAATAACAATAATGTCTCAAAAGCTGAACTTTCACGCCTGTTCACCCATGTCTTACTTCAGAGCAACTGGGAAGGTGGTCAGTCTCCCCAGCGCTCAGGTCTTGCCCCATAATACAGGGAATATGCACTTCTGAGGACCATGTTTCTGAACAGGCATTAAGAAAACATAGTTTCTACCTTGAAAAACTTAGATGCCATCTGGAAAGATGCCCTGTAGTGCTGGATAGGGAAAGTTGTGCCCAATACCTGGTAAGCTGTGTTCTTGACAACTTCAATAAGCACCAAGAATTAACCTGTGACTGAGATGTAAACTGAAATGATCATACACATGCTAAAAGCCACATTTGAATGTCAATGAGCTGCTAGGAGCTGAGAGGCTCCAGATCTCTTTTCCAAGGTAATTTTTTCTACACTGGAATTGAGGACCTCTGATCTTGTTGTTGCACTAATTCAGATAGGTTTAATATTACCATTTCCTTGGTTGGTCACCTAGTTTTGCATAATTGCCAATTTTGTCTACCCCACCTCTTGTGCATATTTCAGTTTCAGATGGTTTCAACCTTAATCTGAGTTTAGACAAATGTATGGGGAAACAGTTACTGCTTTAATAACAATGTACGTGTCCAAAATGTATGATTGGCTTTTGCAAACTGCATAACCAAAGATTAAATTGCCTTGTGATATTTTATGTGTGTATGTATATGTGCATCTGTCTGTATTTGTGTTTTTCTGCAACTGTACTTTGCCAGCTGGCATGAAATTTGGATCCCAGTGAAATCAGCCAGAGCAAGGAGTATCTCTTTATAATGCAGCTGTAGCAAGGTTGTAACAAGCTGTAGAGTTCTGACCTTTGAAAACACCCTTGAGTCCCACATTAAAGGTAAGGGATGCTGTTGATCTGGGTCAGATATGTATTATACCTTGATCTCAGTTTCATTGGGAGAAAGTTGAAGCACGTTAGGAGAATGGTCTAGGAAAGTTTTGTAGCAGGCTTCAGGCAGAAGAATAAAGTAAACCAAGATTTTAGGAGCTTTCTGTTCTCTCTAGAGCAAGAATGGCATCAATTACTGTGATTTAAGAGCAAACAAAAGAGCATCCCTTACAGCCACTCCATTCACAAAAGCTGCATACAGAGGAGGCAGTCGGAAATCCAAGTGGCCCCAGATGGTACTGGATGTCTCTGAGCTGTAGATCTGAAATAAATTGACATAAATTAATTCAAAATCCAGAACCCAAGGATAAAATGTGTGCCGTATCTCTGATGTAATCCAGATCAGGCTGTACCCTCTCGGGACCCAACTGTTCCCTTTCATGAGAAAAATATTGTTCTTTAGAAAGGATGAAAAGAAACTCACTTTCCTGTTGGTTTATGTCCCTTTCCACCCAAACAGACCTCAGGTGCCAGACGAACACCATGCACCTGGCCATTCAATACCTTCACACAATCTCTGGCCATTGATATCCCTTCCCACAGCCCATCTGCAGTTGTCTCAATACTGTCATCATCTTGCTGAGGAAGATCTCCAGCTAATGGTTCTGGTTTTCTACTTTTCATAAGACCCTGAATAAATGATATACAGCCTCCTGGAGCAAGTAGCCCCAAGCTCCACTCCTTTTGCTGTTCAGATCTTTGTAGCCATAAAAAGATTTTGCAGAATTAAATAGAACAAAACCCCCACAGTTTGGGAAAGTGCGATCTCTGTGCAAATGGACTCACAGAACTCTGGAGCACGAGTCCAGCTGGGCAAGTCTGATCAATAGAACAGTAGGTGAAACTCCTCCTCAGGGTCAAATAGTGCTCTAGTTTAGGGAAAGCAGGACTGGAGAAACATGACCAATGTACTCCAGACAACAATTATATTTTGGGAAGTAAGCCACTTTTAGCTCTCCATCCCATTAGCAGTCTCTTATTTTTGAAAGTTGATGATAAGGGATATTTACTTTGCTGATGTTCTTAAGAAAATCTCACGGGCAAAATAAAGCAACAGTTCTTAATTATCTGTGCTTGCAGGGGGTTATCCTAACATATAGTCTGTTACAGAGGCTTTTGCCTATCCAGAGTTAAATAACTCAAGCAATGAAGTTTCCCTGTGTGAAGTGGGAAGAACCCTGTGTCTCTCTTTCCGTCCCCCAAAGAATTTCACCATGAGGAAGTTTCCCCTTATAGCCCAAATTTTCCCTTACTGTCCTTAAAGCTGAACTTTAGGGCATGCTATGAATGCCAAGCATCTTACCTTGCTGTATTGTGTCACTTTGTGGCAGACCTCAGTGTTGGTACCCAGAAGCCCCACTCCAAGAGTATCGAGAATCATTCGCTTGCTTCTCTGAATGACTTGGTCTGTCAAGTGGTTTGCATTCAAACCATGAATGACATTGGCAAAATCTCCTGTAATTGTCTGGGAGGGGGAAAAAAAATGAAGAAAAAGAAAAAGAAATTTCTATTCATTTAAAGAAAACACTTTTTTTTTCTTCCCTTTTTTTCCTCTTTCTTTCAGTTTCAGACTACTGCTTAGCATACCGGCCATTTCTGTTGCCCTGCCCATGCTTACATGAATTGCATCAGCAAAACTAAGGTTTGAATTCTTCCTCTTTTTATTCCCAGAAATACCACAGTGTTATTTATATTATATTTATACTTCCATCAGTCTCTGTCTCTCTTTGGTATTTCTGCTGCTTCCTCCTTGAGTCCTTGAGGGTAAGCACTGCAGGTAATATAACTTTGAAAGATATCTTCATCTCCACCTCTGTACACATACAAACATACATAAAACAAATACAAGCAAAACCCACTTGGCTTTCTATAGCACCTTGCTATTGCAATCAGTGGGAAAGCAGCACTTCAATCCCACTGCCACACAAGGAGGAAAGATTTAATCTCCCTGAGTAGCAGAATTACTTTCCCAAATCTTGCTGAGCTTGGAGGTCAGTAGGACTGGCATCTCTACCTTGCACCCGCTGCTCCTAGCTCCCAGCTCTCACTGAATTTGTACTCAGATGGGGTGCCAGCTTTTCTCCAGGACAAGATCTCATCTTTTTGAAAGCAGTGGCTCCTTGTTCCTGGCTCCTGCTGATCTGGGAATTATATATTTTTTTTTTTTTTTTTTTCTCCTTTGCTTTCCTATTGAACCCATTATGCAGCCTGCTTCTTGGCTGGAGCTGTTAGTTGCCATTAATACATCTATTAGAATTAATCTAGAACTTCCCTTTTCTGACCATTAGAAACATCCACATATAGAGGTATATATTATTTACAACCAGCCTACACATACACTTGCTTTCTTTCATATTGGTATTACTGAATAAAGCTGTTGTTCCTTTTGGAAATTGTCTCCTTCCATTCATCCTTACCCTTCTTCTACTCCCCTGCACGTATCCACACCACGTGGTATTTCCTCTTAGCCTGCATTTTGCTAAAGTAAACCAAACAGTGCTGCTTTCTCTTTTATAACATAGACTCACTCCTAACTATGCTAGTAGCTTTTCAGTGTGTTGTTCACATTTGATTTCTATTCTATAGCAATGGTGACCAGAATTGTACCCATTATTTCAAACAAATTCTCACTCGGCTTTGTACTAAAGCATTAAGACTATCTTGAGGAACACAAGTCATTTAAAGGAGGTGAACCACATATCCCAGTGGTTCCCTAAAAAATAGAGAGTGAGGATACAAAAGCTTAAACAGAAAAGTGCATCTTACAGTGCAAAGAAACAAGACAGTACCTTTGCCCACATCACAGAGGGATGGTGCAAGGTTCCAGGGAGATGCAGCAAATGAGCGGCAGCCAGTGAGCTGGGGAAATAATTCTCTCACTATTTATATGGGTAAGTCTGGGGTGGGGAAAGAAATATTGGGCCTTTTTTCTTGCTCATCATGCCCTGCCCATTTCCTTCTCTGCCTGGAAATGTTCCTTTTTCTTCTTTCTTTCAACTTTCCTCTAACTGTAGCATAAACTGCTGGGACATGTGCTATGGGACTTTGCCAGTCACATTCATATGTTGCATAAACTGATATATGTGATGTTTTATTACCAGATAGAAACCAGTATATTGATTGTCTTACATTTGTTAGTATGGAAAGAAGAGGTCATCAGGTGTGTCAGGCTAATCTTGGGCAACCACAGGAGTCCATGGATAACTGTACTGGTTGAGTGAGCAATCAGCCCAGTACTAGACTACAGGATGGCAGAAGCTGTTTTAACTTAAACAATCTGTTGTTTTGTTTTCTTCTTCCTTCACTATATGCCTCTTCTATAATATGTAGAATTCAGACATGGGAAATGTGTGGCATAAGAACTTCAGAACATAAGCTGTATTAAGGCAGCTCGTGGGGGTTGGACTAGATGACCTTTGAAGGTCTCTTCCAACCCAAACTATTATATGATTCTATTATTCTGTGGTTCTTGATATTTAACAGTGTTTTAGCAGCATGAGTCACTACGTGAGACCATAATTTCTACTAGCAGGTTTTCTGCATCTCAGTCAAGGATGCTTTCTCTGAAGAAGGAGGCGATTCTCCCACCAGCAGTTTAGGCATCTGGGGGAATCCCAGGCTACTACAAAATAGTGAGTCAGAAAACCCTGCCCATCCCATCAGGAAAGGAGCAGACCCCAGAGGAGCAGGAGTAGTATGTATGAGTAATGTATGTCTGAAGTTTGGGAACCTCCTGAATTAGGGAACAAAGCATCAGATTTTCTCAGGATTGCAGTCTTGCACTTCCATGCTAAAGTACTGCCTGAAACTTACTGTAGGAACCTCAGCCCTTTACTCAGCCTAGCCTCAAATAATTTTGTAAAGCTGTATCTAATCCCTGAGTGCTTCCAGGTAGAGACTGGCATAGGTCTGTAGGTGAAGTCACTGATTCGAGTGGCTTTTATTAATACTAACAGGTCCTGTTTTTAGGCTTCATCCTCTCCCCTCTCCTGTTCCTGGACACATAGTCCTCTTCATCCTCCTTGTGCCAGTGCTGAGGCTGAGCAGACCCTTTTCTGAGCTGGTCCAGCCTGTCTCCAGATCCAGCTCAGGGATTCTCAACAGTCAGGCAAAACTGAGTTTCTTGCCTCAGAAATGCAAAATTAAATCTAGCAGCACACCTGGAGGGAAACAGAAGTAGGGCTAGCAGTATTCCATGAAATTCTGGGAGGGCATGTACAGGTAAAAAGAGATGAGAGGGCATTAGCTGTTTTTGAGCAAGCTCTAACCCAGACTAATTTGCCTGTGCCTTGAGCCAGCTCTGCTTATGGATGTCATCTTCAGGTGCCTAACTTCATGCTGAAAATTGCACTGGGTAAGCTTAAGAGTGCTTTAAATGACAGAATCAGTGATGTGACTTTTTTCAGATTTAGCCAAAGAGGCTGAGGCCCAGGAGTCCCAAACCCCAGCCCTACAAACACATACACACTTTTGTATGGGCTAATCTGCATTATGTGTAAGCTCCATTTAAAAATCTTATCCCTTCTCTCAGTATGGGCAGCTGTTCAGCATGGCATGGCTAAACCTCTTCCCACACACATTTCTTTTTGAGTATACCACATTTTTTTATGAGTATTTCTTCACTCATGTATGCATAACTTACATCTATATACACTATCCAAGCAGCATTTACTAGTTCCTGGGTGAGATGTGCATTTTAGCCAAATCCTGAGCCTGTGGGGAGACAGAACCAGAATGTTCATCAATATGTCTTCCTTGCCCCCTCATTTCCATGCTAAGGAAAACCTCACAGGTGGCCTGGTTTGCTGAAGGATTACCTTTGGTGCTGATAAAATCCAGCCCAGCTAACAGGATTACTCACATAGACAAGTTTGGCAGTGGTTAGAAAGGCTAGTAGAAGTTAATGCTATTAGTCTGAAAAAGGGAAACATCTTCTTAACTTTCACTTTTGTTCTTCCCTCCAGAAAATGGAAGAAAATATGTAAATCACAGAACCACAGAATCACAGAGTGGCGGAGGTTGGAAAAGATCATCTGGTCCAAACTCTGTACCCTAGCAGAGCTACTCAGAGCAGGTTGTCCAGCACTGTGTCCAGTTGGGGTTTGGATATCTTCAAAGATGGAGACTCCACAGCCTCTCTGGGAAACTTGTGGCAGTGTTTGACCACCAAAACATTGCATATTCAAACCCTAACGTCAGTCCCCTTTCAGTCATTTGCTTCCTTTACCTTTGGGGTATCTGTTATAGTCTCATTCTATTTCTCATTTCTTCATCAAGTGAGACTGAAGTGAAATTTTTAATATCTCCTTGATCCCTCTGTGCTTCTATATGGCAAAAAGGAGACACAACCGCCTCACAGGAGAACTTCCCTACATAAGAAGCAATATGGGATCCTTTTCATTTCCCCTGACAACCCCAGTGAATGAAACAGTGAATACATCAGAATGCATGTAAAGCATGAGAAAACTATGCAGTAATGCAATTCCTGATTAATTTATAATTTTAATGACTGCTCTAATACAGCTGGCACTATCCTGGAAAGCCCACAGTCAGAATTGAGCAAAAATGGCCCATAATCCTTTTTATTTCTAGAAGGCGTAGTGTAGTGTCAGCCTGTAGGACTGCGTCCTCAGCCTTCATTATTTCTCAAAACAAGGTCCATAAGACAGTTTACAGTTTACAATGTCTTACGCCCCCCCCAAGACTTTGAAACACTATTACTGGAAGTAATAAGTGTGCAGCTGCCTTTAATCCCATGTCAAGACTCCAAAGTGAATTCAGATTGGAGCCAGAGCTTGTGAAGTGCCTTGCAGTGTGATGCGTGGTCACACACTGCTAGCTGATCTCAGATGCATGATCACTTCCTTACGTAACCTTGATTGCAAGATGGATTGTCCCATGTATTGCAAGAGGAGCACCAGTGCTATTTAAGGACTGGACAGAGATATGAGAAAGTGACTTCTCTAAAAAAAAAAAAATGAAATGAAACTGTAAATGCAAATAATTAAGTTACTTGGGAGACCAGTTTCCAAAATGTGGTCTGAAGACCTCAGAGTCAGATGGACACTGTAGGCTTAGGAGTAAAAGGAAAGCAATATGATTATCACTGTAGGGGGAAGAGGCATCTATACAAAGTCCTGTACATCCACAGGAGAATTCATAGGGATCGAAACAGAAGAAGGTTGAAAAGCAGTGACTGAGCGTTTGGAACAGGCTGTCCACCCTGACAAAGGGAATCTGCTGCTTTCCTCTTCTTTGACACTATATGCGTGGTTCAGCAATTTGAGCAGACAATTTGTTAACCAGGGAGCATGATGGAAAGACAAAATGCGTTCATCCAAATGCCATTTGCAACATCGTGCGCAGCTACAGTAATGAGCTCTGTTGATTACAGAACAAGGCTTTAGAAAACCAGTGCCCCACAGAGTCTATTTTCTCCTGCTGACATCACATTTTTAAGCTGCTTTTTTTCTTTATTTCGCCTCCAGTTATTTCAGGCTAAACTCTGCCCACACCTGCAAGCTGTATGGTTGCAACTGAAAGCAGATTTGGCCGTAGCCTTGTGCTTCTTTTGTTCTGAAGAAATACAAAAAATTATGACAAAAATGCGGAGTCCAAGCTTCCTTTTCTTTAAGCCAGCCTTTAAGATGTGACTTTGTTCATGGGCTGTGCTAAGATGAGAAAATGGGAGTCAGGTGCCAATGTGCTCTGTTTGCAGAGCCTTTCTAATTGCTTAGGGTCTGAAAGCACCTTACAAGTGCAGGACCTGCTCCTTTGCCCTCTGCTGGGATATTTTAAGTACAATAAAGAGCTAAGAATCTTAGCAAATGGCCTGGAATAGCTGGTTTAATCTGAATGCTGCTAACAGCCATACAGCAATAAACTTTGGGATCCCACAGTTCTTCACCACTATTCTTTTTCCACAGGCCTACCATCTCACGTTCAACAGCAGCTACTGAGCCAGCCAGCAATAATACACAGCATATGTAATAGGCAATGATTGCACCATAAAATGTATAATTCTGGAAATTTCTAGCCTACAGTAGTTGCCCTGTTCCCTTACTTGCACAACTAGTGACAACAGCAGTACAGTCTCTGAGAAGTTACAACACCCTTGTTTCCTTTTCTCAAACTTGTCTTGGAAGTGCCAAGCCATATTCTGGTTAAGGCTGCTACAAGTCAGCACACAGGATCTACATTACACAGACCTTACGGCCTTCATAAATTAGCTGTGCTATTCCTAAAGACAAGTCCTTGCAGTTCATTTAAAGTTGCAATGTGGGTGTTGATTTGCTTAAATGAGCTGTAAGAGGTACCAGACATAGCTGCGATAATCATGTAGGATCTTGGTGAAGGCAGATCAATCATTTCAGTATAGACATACTGTGAACAGGCCTCAAGCAACTGCAGTAGAGGCAAAAGCGTGTTTGAAGCCAAACAGTGTGTTGCTGGATGATTAAGCAAGTCCCTTTGGTATAATTGATAGAGTAATGTGAAGGGGCATGAACTATAACAATGCGAGAAGACACCACATTTCTATGAAATTCCCAGTGGCACAGTGCAAATGTTAGGTCTCACCCATACCATAGCCTTTACCTGTAATACTAGTGATGCTGACAGTGCAAGGGGCTACACCTTACTTACGTGCCCCAGGTTCACAGCTCAGGAGGAGGAGGTGTAGAGGAAGGTGACACAGCCAGGCCCAGACCCCTGTGAACAACTCTGCACCCTGGAGTACCAACTCTTCTTCCTGGGATGCCTCACAGACAAGTTCCCAAAGCTTTTCTTCATCCCACTGTAGCTTCCTACCCTATTTGCTAAAGAAATAAGGTTACCTAGACAAGTAGCAGGTGGCTGTAGGGTTTCTGTATGGCATGACCTGCACTCTGAATATAGCAGCAAGTGTAGGAGAGATCACATAGGTTTTCTGTATGTGCATAGACTTTGCTGTAACTTCCCCTTGCTGATGGTTTTGGCAGCTTGGGGCACACATTGCTCTCTTAATCAAAAAGCAGTCATGATGTCTGTACTCAGCCAAAAATGCAGCCAGATGTCATTATAGGACTTGTGCCATTTAGGGAGACTTTAAAACTTGACTAACATAAATTCAGAGTTTGATTAGTGGAAACCACATTACTGTGAGCACACATGAAGGATGTGGCAATTTTAATTAAATTAACAGCAGATCTCTGTGGTGCAAATGAGGCATTAATCACTGTGCTGGGCTGCTGCATCATACATGCAAAGGTACCCAGCAAAGAGCCCCTCCTGATCATTTCAGAGTGAGCCCAGATGTTGGGCTGTCACAGGTCCCAGCAAGCCTGCAGTGGTGGTCCGGTAGGGAGATGTGGTATCGAGTCATAGAATCATAGAATAGTTAGGGTTGGAAAGGACCTTAAGATCATCAAGTTCCAAACCACCTGCCATAGGCAGGGACACCTCGCTCTAAACCATATCACCCAAGGCCTCATCCAACCTGGCCTTGAACACTGCCAGGGATGGAGCATTCACAACCTCTTTGGGCAACCCATTCCAGTGCTTCACCACCCTAACAGGAAAGAATTTCCTCCTTATATCCAATCTAAACTTCCCCTGTTTAAGTTTTAACCCATTACCCCTTGTCCTATCACTACAGTTCCTAATGAAGAGTCCCTCCCCAGCATCCCTATAGGCCCCCTTCAGATACTGG